TTTCTTTTTGCTTATGTGGTACTGAGGAATTGAACCCAGGGCCTCAGGCATGCAAGGCAAGCGCTCTACCACTGAGCCACCTTCCCAGCCCTGCATTTCTTTTATTTCAACATCCGTACATACATCTATACAGTGCCCTGGCTCCAACTACAACTTCTTGCCTCCCACAGATGTTCTTACATCACAGTCACGCCTTCCTCTGTCTAGACAGTACAGTTAACCCTCCCACCACCTGGGTCAGACTTCTGTAAGTACATGTAAGAACTTAACATTTCCATCTAGATATTTCATAGACTTCTCCAACATGGCAAAACCTGAAATACTGACATACTTCCAACTCTAGTTGCTGTCTTCTCTACCTCAGCAACCATTTATTTGCCCAACTGCTGCTATTCACTTAGGAACCACCTTTGATTAGTTACCACTCTCATCTGACCCCAACAGCAAGTCCATTTCACATTACCTTCAAAATACGTATAGTGGGCTGGGATGTAGCTCAGTGGCAAAGCGCTTGCCTAGCAAGCGCAACGTCCTGGGTTCGATCCCCAGTACCAAAAAAGAAAAGACAAAAAAAATACAGTTAAAAAAAAACCCCACAAAATACGTATAGTTCTAATCTCTGACTTACATCTGCCAATTTCACTATAGTGTCTCCTAACTGGTCTCCCTTCCCTTTTTTTCCCCTCTTTAATTTTTCTTTCAAACACAGCACCAGAATAAGACTTTTTTTTTCCTTTCCGGTTGTGGGGCCTGTACTCTGGGCCTGGGCGCTGTCCCTCAGCTCTTCAGCTCAAGGCCAGCGTTCTACCACTTGAGCCACAGTACCACTTCTGGCTTTTTCTGCTTATGTGGTGCTGAGGAATCGAACCCAGGGGCCTCATGCATGCAAGGCAAGTACTCTACCACTGAGCCACCTTCCCAGTCCCAGGACTTTTTAAAAACTTAGTCAGGGACTAGGAATCTAGCTCAATGGCAGAGCACTTACCTGGTACATATAAGACCCTGAGTTTGATCTCCAACATTGAAAGGGGAAAAATAAACTAAAAGAACCAACAGAGATTTTTAATCAGAGAGTGATCCAGTATTTATCTTTAGGAAGATTAACTCAGAAACAAAGTAGAAGATATGTTAGAGAAGACAAGATTGATAAATACAACACAATGAGTTCACACACAAAGGCCTTAAGGCAGGCTCATATGACATGTATTTATTAAAATAAGAAGAAAAAGATAAAGGAAATGATATACATTTACAAATATTAACCTCAAGAGTCTAAGCTATCCAGCTGCTCCATGGAGATCCCAAGTGAGTTTGTTAACTCACTGACAAAAGCTACAGATGTGTGATTATGCCATGTAATTATAGGTGGAAGAAAAAGACAAGCAGATCAACTATTACATGCCTGTAGGCTAGCCTAGTGACTATGACCAGCTGAATACACAAGTCATGGCTAAAGATAGAGATTTGGGATTCAGCAGTGAACTGGAAGCTAAGAACTCCAAAGAAGTGAATTAAGCACTCCTCCAGAAGTTTCCTAGGAAATAACCAAACTGACATTTACATAACTCTTCTTTAACAAAATCCATGCCTTAGATAGGCATTTTGTAGGTAGACAAATAATCTTCTCAATACCCAGGGGCTTTCAAAGAACTAAGTAAAAAGGAAAGGCATAGAAGAAATTATAGAAGAAGCAGGAAGAGATGATGGTAGAATCAGAAACAAGCAATGCTAGAAAACAAGAGAATATGAAAGGGGTTATCTAGAGTCAACACTGCGGAAAATTCAAGAGAAACATACACACTCACAGGACACGAGAAGGATATTTCACAATAGCTACGCCTTACTTAATTCTACATACAGTTTCAGGAAGAAGGACAAATATATTGGTGTAGATTGCAAAATGAGTGAAAAGCAATCATGAAACTAGTCTCTTAAGAGCTCCAGCAGTGAAGGAACTAGAAACTAGAGTTTACGAAGCCAGCACCATTTACAAGGCTAGGTACTACCATAGTGCCCTACACTTTATTTACCATGTCCACTCTATTTTAAAAAATGCAGGAGATTTATGAATGCTAAGAACCTTGTTCAGTCACACAGCCAGTGAGTGGCGGTGGAAGTTATCTCCCCAACACACTGATGTAAAGTTGGCTGGTTGGATGAAAAAAAAATGTAAGGAGCCAATCTATGCATTAGATAGATCCTGTTCTGTGCTGTTGAACTTATCTTCAAAAGGCATGCAAAAAGAATTAGTCTGAGGGGCTGGGAAGGTGGCTCAGTGGTAGAGCGCTTGCCTTGCATGACTGAGGTCCTGGGTTCGATTCCTCAGTACCACATAAGAAAAAAGCCGCTAGTGGTGCTGTAGCTCAAGTGGTAGAGCGCTAGCCTTGAAGTGAAGAGCTGAGGGACAGCACCCAGGCCCAGAGTTCAGGCCCCACGACCAGACCAAAAAAAAAAGAATTAGTCTGAGAAACACATGAACTGTGTTTCCAAAGGTCTATAAAACCATATTGTGAATAAATATTGTCTACTTCAGGGAAGAACTTTGCTATATAATCCTGAGGGACTTCCCTGAAGTACAAGAGAAACAACTGTAAAAAAAAAAAATGAACTGTCTCCCAAAAAAGACTGGCCCCAATTATAACCCTACTGCTTTTATAGCAGACTAGGTCACAATGTCAGCTTAACTCCAAATGCATTTACAACTGTATGATTAATACAACCATTTACCCAAGATGGCAACCAACCCTAGAGGGCAGGCAGTCTTCTGGGCCAGGCCCTGAGAAGATGACTAGTTCAATTTTCATGAAATTTCCTAGATCTCCTTAACCAACACAACTCATTACAATTGATAATTAACTGATGGCAGCATGCTAGGGATGACTGCCTTCCAGAGGAAGTGTTATCTATGCTGATATCTGAGGGGTTATCTATGCTGATATCTGAGGGGTGCTCAGGGTTGGCAAAACCAGATTGAGAAGTGGGAGAGGATAAAGGCCAGGAGATCAGAGGAGTCTGTAGGAAGGAGTCAGGGGTTATAAAAAAAAAAAAGTGTAAGCCTTGAGCCTGGAGAGGCAGGAGGAAAAAGCCTTGAGCCGACTGGCTGGACACAGAGGAAGAGTGAGCTCACTCCCATTCTGGTCTTTATCCCAAAGACAATGTGAAACCTTTACGGCTTCCAACCACGTGACGTATCCAGACTCGTGCATCTCTCCACGCGGACTCTTCCCTCCACCCACTCCCGGGCCACCCCAGCACAGGTTTCCTTCGCAAGGGAGTCACGATGCAGCCCAGCAAAGACAAGCGAGATAAAGCAATTCTCCCAAGGTGAATTCTGCATTAAGAGGAGGAAGACTCTGAGAAGAAGAAGAAGAAAAAGTAGTTTAAACAAGTGGCAGCTACTTAAATATTAAAGAGACAGTGCATGTAAACTTTCTAACTATGCATGCCTCTCCAACGACACTGCTGTGGGCATTTAAAGCCAAAGATAGTGACCAGCCTAAGACTCAAAGACAAAGCCTGATGTGTTGGATTGAGGGATCGTCTCCGTACCCGCCCGTCCCTTCCCACACTTTCTTTCCCCTGAACCCAACAACAGCTGTCTTCCCGCGTCCATGGCTCTGCTGTTCAACTTTGGGAAGAATAAACCGTCTCGTAACCCATCAACTTTCTCCGGCGCCAGCTCAGAGGTGTCACTGGATTCAGGGGACACCCAAGGAGCGCACAGGGTTTCAAAGGCGGCCAGCGATCCGGATGCCCGAGGGGAACTTTCCCGCCCTTCCCACTCGGCGGGGCCTTCCCGCCCCAGGCTGCTGGGGGCCACGTCGCCTCCGCGCAGCCGAGGACCAGGCCAGGCCCGCACAGCCTCCGCCCGTCCCGCTCCTCCCAGGCTGAGGGAGAAGCCGAGGGGGGCAGGAGGGGGAGGCGATCCAGGCCCGAAAGAAGGGAGGGAGGGGGAGCATCAGGTTACCTGGGGCCGGAGACCGGCTGCAGGAACACAGACAAAGAGGGCGGCCCCTGCACGGCCCGCTGGAGAGAAGGCTTCCGAAAGATGTCCCAGCGCCCAGGGCCCAAAACGCCAGCAGCGCCCGCCGCGGAGGAAGATAAAGCAGCCGACACCGCCCCCCCACCCCCTCCGCCGCCCTCCGCCCCCAGCCTCCCAGCCCTCCCGGCGGCGTCACGCGCACGGCCCTCGGGCTCGGGATGCCATTGGTGGTCCCGCGAGCGCCAGGCCACGCCCATGGCCACGCCCCCTCCCCTGGCCGCGCGGGTACCCGGAGCCCCAGCCCAGCGCCGGCCCCGGCCGCAGGAGCCGCGGGGGCCGCGGATCCCCGCGCGTGCCGGTAGCTCGCGAGACACGGACACAACGGCCTTGCTTTCCACTCCCACCCCGGCGATCGCGTGTGCGGAGGGCAGAGTCGCGGCCGGGACAACTTCCCGCAAGTCCGAAAGGACAGGCCGCCTGGACCGCTGCTTCTGTGGACCCCCCCCCGAAGCCCGTGTCTGGGGGAGCAGTGGGGCGGCCGAACCCACCGTGCAGGAGCAAAGCTGAGGCCGTAGGCGACAACTTGGGCCTTAGGCCGCCTTGTATCTAAAACCTGCACTGGACCTTGACCTTGAGCAGCGAGAGCACTAGATAAGGAGACCGAAGTGAATCCCGTGAAACGCTGGGGTGATGTAGTCGCTGCAATTTAGGGTTCTTGGGTTCGGTGGCTGGCTCAGGAGGCTGAGAGTTCTGAGGGTCGAAGTTCGAAGCTAGCTGGAGCAGGAAAGTCCGTGAGATTTTTACCTTCAGTTAATAACAACAACAACAACTAGACCAGTAGAGCTGTTGCTCCTGGGGTAGAGCACTTAGCCTTGAGCAAAATCTCAGGCCCAGCACCCAGACCCTGAGTTCAAGCCCCAGGACCAGCACACATACATTAAAAAGACCCTGCTGCTCATTACTGGAAGAAAAATGATGCAGAAAGATTTAGGGCGTAGATTAGATCCGAGAAACGGCTTAGATTTCACGAAGGCAAAGGTGTCAGTGAATTGAGGATAAAGATAGGTGAGGGAGAATGCTGAGAAGCAAGATTCCACTGTCACACAGTGAGTGCTAAGCAGTGTCAGCTAACCTGGCAGGTTGGTCACTCCATCCCTGCTCTGCTGGATTGGCCCTTCCTGTCCAGATCAGAATGCAGCAACTACTCTTTTTTTTTCTTTTTTGCCAGTCATGGGGCTTCAACTCCGGGCCTGGGCGCTGTCCCTCAGCTCTTCAGCTCAAGGATAGTGCTCTACCACTTGAGCCACAGCGCCACTTCTGGCTTTTTCTGTTTATGTTGTGCTGAGGAATCGAACCCAGGGCCTCATGCATGCGGCGCAAAAACTTTACCACTGAGCCTTCCCAGCCCAGAAACTACTCTTGTAGACCTTTTAACCATGTGGATTTTGGGCTGGGTGTTGATGGCTCGTTTGTATAATCCTAGCCTTTCAGGTGACTGAGATCTGAGTTCAAAGTCAGCCAGGGACTTGAGTAAAAAAGGTAAGGGAGAGTGCCTTTTGTTTCCGTTAAAAAACAAAAACAAAAACATGTGGGTCCCAGTATGGTGGTTCAAGCCTGTGATCCTAGCTGGGCACAGATTAGGGAACTGTAAATTCCAGGTTAGCCACTCCCCCATCCCCCCAAAAAAAAAGATCTCAGGAGTCCTATGGCAACCACCTTCTGGGTGGTGACAGGTGCCTGTTATCCAGCTAGAGAGGAAGCACCACAATGGGCCCCATGACTTGGGTCTGTCATCCCCAGAGACATAAAAGTGTGAAGTGGGATCCTACTTCAAAAATAGTGCAAAAATTGGCGAGGAGAATGGCTCAAGTAGTAGAGGCATTTACCCACAAGCACAAATAACACATATGCACATTCACCTAGTGGTTTCGGTGCAAAGGGTATTGTAGTGGGTCTAACAGTAACCTCTACAGGAGAAACATGAGAAAAAAATGAGAGAAATAAGTAAACAAGATAATTGCAGGTTTGATAAGTGTTAAGAAAACAAAACATTCCTTAGAGCAAGATGTGAAACCATGGCAAAAACATCACTAAAAGCCTTCTTGCTGTTTCTTAAGGAAAGGTACAGTGTGTTTTAGGACATAACTTTGATACAACAATTAATGGGTTAGATTTGTAAGAACAAAGGTATACAGGATTTTCGGAGGTGACCTAAGCTTAGACCTAACGTGGAGGAGTCAGCTGTGCCAACTATAGGAAGAAGGATCATTCTAGACAGAGGATGGTAAGTGTGAAGACTTGTGCTGATCAACTGAGGGACAAGAGGCTGGAACACACTGGAGCCCAGGAGGAAGGGGGCTGAGGCTGGAGCATTGAGTGGAGCCCAACCACATTATTTGTTGAGAAGTATAAAGGAAAGATCATAAAGGATTTGGGGTTTTTTTGTTTGTTTTTGTTGGTCATAGGGCCTGAACTCTTGGGCCTAAGCACTGTCCCTCAGCTCTTCAGCTCAAGGCTAGCACTCTACCACTTGAGCCACAGCACCACTTCCACCTTTTTCTGCTTATGTGGTGCTGAGGAATTGAACTCAGGGCCTCATGTAAGCAAGGCAAGCACTCTACCACTGAGCCACCTTCCCAGCCCCTTTGTTTTCTTTATATAAACCTGTCTTACATATGATAATTTGGAGAGGTACATGATGGAACAAAGAAATGACAGGAAATTATTGGGCAAGCCCATTGGATGGTAGTTAGCCTAATTAGATTAGTAGCTGTAGAAATAAAAGATTTCAGGATACTTCCCTGAGGTGCAAGTGGGAAGAAAGTACACAAGGTAACTCTAGGACATTTACCTTAAGCAATTGAGATAAAAGCCATTTAGTGCAGAGGTGAATATGTATGATCGGAGAGAGTCCACAAGCCTCTGACCAGAAGCTCTGTGTGTCTCACCAGTGTCCTGAAAAATCTCACATTCAGTCCCTGGGGTCAGGGTTTAGGTCAATGCTAAAAGATATATGTAAAAAAATGCCTATCAACCTGGCAGGTGCTAGACAGTGATCAAGTGGATCAAGTAGTAGAGCACCTACCCAAGAAAATGTGAAGCCATAAGTTCAATCCTCAGTCCTTCCAAAAAATAAAGTAGCTAACAAATAGGACCATAGTTTATATTAAATGAGTTAAGCCTTTCAAAGTTTTACATACAGATCCCCATTTATGTGCAGAAGCTCTCTAACTGAGAGCTAACTGAACTTAGTAGTTTAGTTGGTAGGATTGGGAGGAACATTGCAAACAAAGGAAAAAAGTCAAAAGGCCAAAAGACAAGAGTCATCTAGAAAAGATGCACAAGGCCAAGTATTGTTAAAGTGCTAAGAGGTATGACACATTCTGATTCAGGCTCTCTTAGACAGTGGGGAGCCAGGAAAGGAAGTTAAGTAGGAAGGAGTCATGGCTCAGGAGCTCATACTGGAGGAAGATGCATCTGGAGGTGGATACATTAATTGAAAGGTAGATGTGGTAATAGAGGTGGCACATGACAAAGACCTAAACTCAGGCAATAACCCAGGTGGATAGAGATGGGGGATGGGGGAGGATACCTGAGAGATATTTAAAGTGACAGCTGACAGATCGTGTTTGGCTCTGAAGGTTAAGGATGTATTCAGAATTACCAGAAGGCGGCCAGGCACCGGTGGTTCACACCTGTAAACCTAGCTACTCAGGAGGCTGAGATCCGAGGATCATGGTTCAAAGTCAGCCAGGGCAGGAAAAGCCATGAGACTCTTATCTCCAATAAACCACTCAGAAAACTGGAAGTGGCACTGGGGCTCAAGTGGTAGAGTGCTTGCCTTGAGCTAAAGAGCTGAAGGACAGCACCCAGGCCCAGAGTTCAAGCCCATGACCCACAAAAAAAAAAAAAATGACCAGAAGACTGGGTGACTAGAGTTAATAACTGAAATAAATAAAAATATATCCTAGAGAAGGAGTAAGAATAAGTTTTATACCAGTTCATATGTTTCCCCTATTGAAACATGAAGGCTTTTTGTTTTATTTTACAAATAAGAATCAACCAAGCTTTATTTTCATAATAGCTTCGTTTTTTTCTGTCAGTCAAAGGGCTGGAACTCTTGGCCTGGGAACAATCCTTCAGCTCTTTAGCTCAAGGCAAGTGCTCTACCACTTGAGCTACAGTGCCGTTTCAGGTTTTTAGGACGTTTATTGGAGATAAGAGTCTCATGGACTTTCCTGCTCCGGCTGGCTTTGAACTGCAATCCTCAGATCTCAGCCTCCTGAGTAGCTAGGATTACAGGCATGAGCCACCGGCACCCAGCTTAGCTTTTTTTTTTTTCTGATTATGTCAATATGCACACTTCTTGCAGAAAAATAAAATCAAATACAGAAAAGTACTAAGCTTAAAGCCATCTAGTATTTTCCTCAAAGATACAGCTACATTTTGGTGTGGAGAAGGAAAGAATGGCTGGAGCCTGAATTCTGGGCCCTACTGCCAGAAGGCTCCATATTCTAACAGAGAGCCTAAAGGGGGCACTGAAGAGGAACGAAGTCAGATTTTAAAACACGAACTCACCTCACTTTCTCAAAGGGCCTCATCTCCCTTAATGATGCCACACAGGAAATAAGTCTTCATCGCATTCCACTGGCAGGCCAGCAAGTGGGAAATAGAGAAGAGTCTAAACCATAGTAGAAAGCTTAGATTGAAGAGATCCTGAGAACCTGGGGAACTGGAATCCTGTCTTGTTTGTGTAGTCCTGAAGCACGATACCTGTGTATCATCTGATAAATGTACTGACAAAAATTTTAGTCAACTGATTGTGGTGGCATATTGCTGTAGCAGGCTGGGGTAGGAAGATCAAGAGTTCAAGCCCACCCTGATAACAGGGTTTCAGTCCACTGGGCCTACGTAATGAGGCCTTGTCTTAAAAGCCAAGTAGCAGTGAGATTGATTGTAACTATACTATAAACGTGTGACTAAATACCACAGTGAAATATTCTGTATTACTAATATAAACTAAAACCTATGTAAAACAAGGCTGGACATAGTGACATACACATATAATTCCAGCTCTGCCAGCGGTGGAAGAATTGCAG